TCTGCTATGTCCACCTGCCTAGCCTGCTTCTAGAAATGTCTCCTGTGTTGTTTCTATAAAGCACTTGGCAGCTTTGAATACTCCTCTTCCCTCCCAGGAATCTTGGTTTATTTTGCTCTGCAGTGGTTTACTGTTTTCTTTCCTTTCAGTTTAATGTTATTTCTTAAATATTCTCTTGTCTTACATTGTGATAATGATGGTGGTGGTGGTGGTGGTGGTGGTGGTGGTGATAATGACAATGATGGTGTGGTGGTGGTGACTCCAAGTCCTTGTATAACAAGTACTGTCTCACTGAGCTACATCCCAGATTTACCTTACTTGTGTGTCTTCTAATATGATCTTAACTATTTCAGCCTTGCTGCTGCTTTCTGTCTCTTCTCTCTCCTGTGTATAGCAGGGGGAGAACTCTCTTGTTCTTTCGTATTCATCTGATTTGTGTCATGACACTCTACCAAATCACCCCGGGGTGTGGAGAGGACTGATATTTTTACAGTCAGATAAACCCTGCCTTTGCATCTTGGTAGCTGTGTGGCCAGTCGTTCTCAGCATTACCTCACTGGCAAAATTGGCATACTCGTCTATAAACGTGTAGTTTGGTCCTAACTTTACCAAACAGAATTCTTTCCTCATGATAGACAATTTACAAAATAGATAGCTACATATAACATAAGCAAATTTAACTTATTAAACTTACACATAAATAAAAACACAACTCAGGGCATTGAACTCTTCTCAGACTGTGTATGTCAAGGGTGGTTGGGCAGGAATGTGTGGTTTTACACTAACTTGTGAGCTGTTGTCACAAGTAGGCCATGTTACCCTAATCTTTGCTGCTGGTTTCATTGTAGACACTAATGGCCACGCAGCTGATAAAACTAACTCAAGGCAGTCTACCCTTGGGTGCAGAATTTCCCACTGTGCTTCATCTGTTGTTTTACCATGACCAAAACTTTGTCTTCCCATACACAGGGTAGTTTTTTACTTTCCTTTCCCTAAGCACAGAATGAAGAAAAACAGTTTTAATGATGATTTCTAGTTTATGTGACATGTCCTTCGCTGCTAACAATCGGTTTGCCTTTCTAACCTGCCTTTCTAAGCTTAGCTCTTGGGATTAAGCTTCCTAGACAAACTGGAATTTTATGTTCCTTAGCAAGTGGGCTTTTTAAAAAGAATATCCCAATCATACATTCAAGTCTTTGTCACTTTATTGCCCAATGTGTTAAAATTGTACATTATTCATAAACCTTAAAAGAGGGAAAGGAGAAGAGGCTGAGAATGGTAGGCAGCAAAGAAAAAGTAAATCTGTAAGACCCACAAAGTTATCACCTGGGCATTATTAAAGATGTGTCCTAACTGATAGGATTTGCTTCTCCTTGTAATTACACTTGTCCATCCAATTGTAGCGGGGAGGGCGTGGTGGGGAAGCAAAGGTTCCTCTCACATGGTGGATGATGAGTTTCACTTTTATTTCTCCCAAGTTCCTTATCATATATCAATACCAAAGGTAATGTTTAAAAGTTTATATTAAGTGAAGTAAGCCAGACCCAAAGAAACATAGGTCCCATGGTTTCCCTTATTTGCAATAACTAGTATACGTCTAGGATAATCTTACCAGACAAGCAGAAAAGGTCAAAAGTTATATACATAGGACCATAAAAGATGATGCTAAGTGATATGAAACCCAAGATAGGGACACAAAAGGTTTTATCTTTGTTGCTGTTGTTTTTAATGTACTTATAATGTACTATGAGATTTTTTTTGTTGTTATTGCTTTTGTATGTTCTTCCCCCATGGTATAACTCCTGTTGTCACTGTATTTGATTCTGGTACGCTGCATCTTATATATACAATTTTCTAATTTGGAGAGGGGAAGGGAAATAACAAAATGCTGCTATAAGGATACAGGTTGACCCATTGTAACGATGAGATGTACAAGACACTATCTTGAAAATGAACTTTACAACTTTGGGGGAGGGGGCGGGGGAGGAAGGAGTTGGGGAGGTGGGGTGGGAAGGGGGGATGGTAGGGGAAAAACAAAGGAGGGGATAACAATGCTCGATAGGAAATGGGCTCATGATCTTACTCATGTAACTATAACCCCTCTGGACAGTATCTTTACAATAAACATATATATTAAAAAAATTAAAAAAAGATTTCTTTGAGATGGATAGAATAATACACAGTAGTTCCTAGAAACAAGATAAAGAATTCATTTCTTTGTGTGTCTGTTAGTATTGGGGCTTGACTGAGGGCCTGCGTATTGTCCTTTAGCTTTTTTCACTAATGGCTGGAGCTCTACTACTTGAGCCACTTCAGCTTTTTGCTTTTAATTGAAGATGAGGTTCTCGTGGGCTTTTCCGGCCAGGCTGGTTTTGAACTGTGATCTTCAAATCTCAGTCCCACCCCTGGCCTGAGTAGCTAGAATTACAGGCATGAGCCACTTGCCCAGTTTGGGTTGGGTATGAATGGCAGCTAAGGGGAGGATCTATGAGGTTTACCATCTGTGTCTTAGTCCTCTATCACTTTGATGGGAAGGGATTAGAAGCTGTCAGGTGCCTGGTGCTACCATCCAGACTTGCCTATGAAACTCCCTGAGGTGTGTGTTTGTGCTAGGTCGCAAAGATTTCAGGTGCTCCTTCAGGAATGGCTCATTCCTTGGGAGAGTGGTGTTGGTCTCCGAGTGGATTTGTGGCTGGTGGACAGATCTGGCACAACACGACCTGGCTTTGCCTTGGTGCCTTCAGAGTTTCTATTCTGCAGAGCTACGACCAGTACCACCAAGAGAACTAGGTTTTCTGAGGCTCCTGAGAGGCAGTTGTCAAGCTGGGTGTGAGAATTGTGTTAACAGCAGAGGTACAGTGCATCTTGTGTTTCCTTGTGTGTGTTTTAAGCAGAAATGAGTCCTGAGGGTTTAAACAGAAAAACCTCAAACAATCCATGAAATGGTAAACAAACTTGCTATTGAAAGAAAAAATGAGGAGCTGACAATTGCGTTATTGTGGTCCTGAGCGGGTTCATTGGTGGAGGCTAGAAGAATAAAGAAGGAGATGAAAGAATCAAGTCAAAGGAATCCAGTTGTGTCATCCTTTCTTCCTTTGTCTTCCCTTTTCCATCTGGTAATGAACCCATGGAGACCTGGAGGGATCCTTCAAGTTTCCTTTTGTTTTAATTTTCTTGTATGCCAGATTGGTTTACAATTTGCAAGGGTTTTTTTCCCCCTCTTCTTCCTCCTCAGTCTTGGGGAATGTGACTTAAGGATCGAAACAGAAAACAAGGAAGGAAAGCATCTTAATATTTTGAAGAAAGGCGGTGGCCCCATAATAAGGGAGGTTGCTCTGGCTCTGGGCTTTCTCTTTCAGAGGCCTACAGGCCTACAGGTCTCATCAAATGTGGGTTTTACAGAATTCCTCCATGTCCTGCCTCGGGGATGCATGCTTTCGAAAATTAACTGTCCATCAAATCAGGAGGAAGCTTGTACAGTTTCTGTCCCCTTTCCCCCTTGCCCGATGAAAAGCTAAGAAAAGAGCCCTTTGTTTTCTTTTCAAGGAGAGTTACACTGGAATTCTGCTGTGTAGTATGCACAGATTTGCTCAGTGTCATTCACGGACAGCTGCAGGTTGAGGAGGACAATGTTGTTGGATTCTAACCTCTACTTTCTAAGCAACGTGGTGGGAAAAGGGTTCAAGATAGTTTACTGTCTCGTGCACACTCTGTTTTCTTTTCCTTTTTACTTCTCTCTCCTATTTAAAGAAGAATCTCCAGCTTTCCTCTTCTCCAGATCTAATTTCTCCACCACATGCCACCGACAGCTCTTCTCACGGTTAAGATTTATGCCTGTCATTTCCGACATTTTCCTCAAAATTGCAAACTTGTAAATACCTTTCGGAGAAACTTGTTTGGAATTTCATTTTAATGGGATTTATGAATAAATCTCCATCTTAATGCTGACTAAGCTTTAAACATCTATTCCAGGAGAGAACACTATTGGATTTTATATATATATATATATATTTTTTTTTTTTAATTTAAATCACTTGAGTGTGGAGGCATAAAGCACTTTTAGATTTGTGTGAGTGCCATGTGTTTGAGCATTTCTGTGAAAGACTTTTTTTTTTTTAACTTTATTTTTTTTAATTCGGTTTGGTGTGAATAATTCTGGGCTGCAAAAGTAGAAAGATTGCATCATCCACCTTCCTTCCCCATGTAGACTCTGTGGTTTGTTTATGTCACCAGTGTGGACCAATGTCCTTTAAACAACACTTTACTTTCTTCTTTCACTTTGAAACCCTTAACCTCAGGATTTTATTTTTAAATTTCATGAACCCTCAAATTCAGAATCAAAGAGGGCAGCACTTCCTCCCTATATGCATTTGGCAGCTTTGGGTTGTTGGATGCAGATGAACAAAATCAAGATCACAGACAATCCTGGGCAGGTGATTCCACTGGTCTTGGTGCAGATTTTTAGTTAGAAAATATCATATGTCACCCACTGGCTGCAGGTGGCTCACACCTGTTTTCCTAGCTCCTCAGGAGGCTAAGAGCTAAGGATCACAGTTCAAAGAGCCTGAGTAGGAAAATCTGTGAGACTCTTATCTCTAATTAACCAGCAAGAAGCCAAAAGTAGAGCTGTGGCTCAAGTGGTAGAACACCAACCTTAAATGAAGAAGCTAAGGGATAGTGACCAGGCTCTTGAGTTCAAGCCCCAGTACCAGTGTGGAAAGGAGGGAGGGAAATGTCATCTCAAGCAGATGCCCAGTTAGTTATACAGTACACCAAAGAACAGTAGCCATGGAGGAAGTGGCTGCCTTCATTAATTCAGTGTGGTAATGATTCACAGTGTACATGTGTGTAAAACCAGGGTGTACACCTTAAATATGTGTTTATTTTGTCAGTTACCTCAGTGAAACCTTTTAGGGGAAGTCCCTAATGTCAGGAGTGTTCAGGAGCCCGCCTCCACTGAGTTTCCTGTGCCTAGGGTCATTTTCTTCATCTCTCCACAGACTCTTCCTACTCCGAACCCCCTGATGTCCAGCAGCAGCTGAACCACTATCAGTCAGCTGCTTTGGCGAGAAACAACAGCAGGGTTAGCCCTGTGTCTCTTTCTGGGGCTGCTGCTGGCTCCGAGCAGAAAAGCGAAGCTGTTCTTCACTGCGAATTCTGTGAATTCTCCTCTGGCTACATCCAGAGCATCAGGCGCCACTACCGGGATAAGCATGGCGGGAAGAAGCTTTTCAAGTGCAAAGACTGCACCTTTTACACAGGCTTTAAGTAAGTGGCTTAACTATAGGAGGACAAATGTCTACCCTTGCTCCAGTTCTCACCACTCTGGCCCGGTCCCTTCTCACCCAGAGCTCAGGGAAGGCCCTGGCCTGGATCATAGGGAGGCTGGGTACCAGTCTTCATCAAAGGAAGCTAGCTTCAGCTTACTTGTAGGAAGATCAAAGAGCTATATCAAGACAAATGCATTTAAAACTCAGAGCAAGTAACTTCCTGAGTGGTGTGAGATTTCAACAAAGCAGTTCACTGACCCAGTACAATTTTCGGAAAATATCACCCTGTCTTATTTTAAAAAATTAATTTGAATTTAAAAAGTTATTATAACTGTTAGAGTTCTTATTTTGCACACCACGTTTTATTATGTAATCCACACTAGCCTCAAACTTGATCCTCCTGACTCAGTTTCCTGAGTGTTGGGATTGGAGATGCTTACGTTCACACCTAACTTCTTTAAATGTACTAGTTTTTATTGGGGAGGGGAGGGTAAGGTAGAAGAAACACCTAGAGATAAAATTCAGTAAGTAAGTCAAAAGAGAATATCCAGCAATTATGACTTCCGTGTTCCTGTCTTAGAAAATTCATTTTTAAGACTGTGGTATTGAAGACACCTCAGGAATCAATCCCACAGCCTTGAAAAGATTAGACTGAAGCAATCGCACAGAAAAATCATTTGAGTCTAGACTAAGTCTTCCTTGTCCCTGTGTTTGACAGCATTGGTGAACTCAGTGAAAAAGTGGAGTTCTTCTAGCAGATAATCTCAACTCCTGCAATTTCATCACATCTTGTGAGATGTTGTGTGGGCAGTGGTGACAGGTGGAGAATACGCAGCCACTTGATGGCCATGCCACCTTAAACAGGTCATAAGTCTCTCTCTGTCTCCATTTCCTCCTGTAAACTGAAGATAATATTATCTGATACTGGGCACTGACTTCAAGCCACAGTCCTCAGATCTCAGCCTTCTGGGTAGCTAGGATCACAGAGATGAGTCACCAGTGTCCAGCTTAGGCTCTGTAAGTTTTTGAAGAGTTGAGCCATGGACCATCTCTGAATTGAGTTGTCCCGTTGCTGATCATTATGACCTGAATGCCTTCGCCCCCTCTCTCTATCTGTGAAGAGTCATGTAGACAATTGGTAGATCAATCTAGCTTTGAAATGCCCTTCCTTCTCCCAAGCATGAAACTGGTCTTCTTAGGGTCTTTGTTCATGCTATTAACAAGCATCATCTAATTTTCAAGAATAAGATGTTTGGGGGAATTTGTTCCTTTTCAAATGAAACCCTAATCCTAGGCAAGTGACAAAATTTCCTCATAGATGTGGCCACTGTATTTCTAAGGTCAGCTATTAGTCAGCTATTAGTTGAATGGCCAAGGAATTCATGGTCAGCAGAGACCTAGCTTTGCTTTGGCCTTCTCAAGCTGAAGAGTCCCATGTGCACACCTACAGTGGGGTGGCTGGCAGTGATGTACACATGAGAGAACCCTTCGTCACACTTATGGCCGCTCTCCCCACCCTGTCTCCTAGATCTGCTTTTACTATGCACGTGGAAGCTGGGCATTCAGCCGTTCCTGAGGAGGGTCCCAAAGATCTCCGCTGTCCTCTCTGCCTCTATCACACCAAATACAAGCGCAACATGATCGACCACATCGTGCTGCACCGAGGTAAGGCACTGCCTGACTCAGTTTCCATGGCAACATGGTGGCATCCTATAAATCCTCTCTCAGGACCATAGTCCCACCAACCACCTCTGCCTGAGTCCCTGTTGCTGTAGGCAAGAATCAGGACAACCACTGACACAGGCAAAGTGACTTAAGGAAAAAAAAAAGCAACCACTTTCCTGCTGAGAGATTTTTCCTCCTCCTCGAGGGAAGTGAAGGGGGTGGGTGAGCTCCTAATGCACCTTTCCTGAAGAGCAGAGCTGCTGGGGTGAGGGCTTTTGGTACCCACAACCTAGGAAAGAAGGGACTCCACCAGGAAGAAAGGAATGAGAAACAGAAAGGGTGAATGGGGGCAAATGAAAAACCTGAAGGGCTACGTGATTGTGAGACATTCTTTTGCCAAAGACCAACGCGATGATTCCTGAAGCAAAATGTGCAGGAAGGTGGATAGGGAGAAAGAATTCAGAAACAATGAAAGTTTACCAACTCCCTAGGCTGGGCATTAGATTAAAACACTGGTTTTGAATACTACCATGTTTAACCTCTCACTTAGGAAGAGATAAAAATGATTTCTATGAGTAGTCGAGCTCCATACTTACGTAAAATATTGGCTCTCAGTGATCAACTGTAGTTTTAAGTCCACCTTGATTGTTTTTATTTGTTGATTTGGTTTGCTGAGACAAGGTCTTTCTTACATGACCCAAGCTAGCCTTGGACTCATGATCTTCTTGACTTAGCTTCCTGAGTGTTGAAATTACAGGCATGTACCACCAAGCTCAGCTCACTTTAGGTTTTCTTTGAGCTACTCTTGTCAAACAATGCTTTCTTTGAATTGGAAGGGAAAATATGATTGCATAGAACCTACTTTGTCATGAAAAGATTCAATCTGTAGGCCAGGAGAAAATGATTTCTGGAATATCCATCTCCTGATGGGTCCATCTCTTATTCTTCATTTCTTCTCTCTCTCCCTTCCTTTCATACTCTTCCTGTCTTCTTTTGCCCCTAACCTGGGAATATGTTTCAGTATTTACTGCACAGGCCTGATCCATGCACATCATCTACTCTCCTGCTGTCGCTCTCCGTGACACACTGGCTCTTGGGCCATGTTTGTAAGGTAGCCCCTGTTTTCTCTGAGCCACTCACTACCTTTGGCCAGCACACTTCCTGACATGCCCTGAGTCTGCTACAAACCACGTGGCAAGCTCAGCATCTAGTGTGCCCGGGTGTTCCGCCTCCCCATTGCATATTCATGAGACACAAGGTGCTTGCTGGCTGAGACATCCACCTGCAAGCTGGATAGCACAACGCAGCACAGCAACATGTAGGCAGAAATTCTTGGCCCAAGAGCTCCCCCCCTGGAGTTCTGCCTTAGTCACCTGGCTTCCAGTCCCCGCAGTCCATGTGTTGCCATGGCTCTGGGTCCCAGCCCAGCTTGGGTGGAGGCCATCACTAGAGTTGGTGCTGAGAGAGCAGAAATGGTGAGTCCTTGCTAGCTGTGGTCACTTCCTTTCTTTTTCCATGTTATTGCCTGGCAGGATCAGAGCTTTGATGTATCATGAGCTCAGTGTCTTGCCCTCACTGAGTAGAGATTTTAGGGAAGAGGGATGGGCAGCAAAGAGAGATTCCACATGAAGGTCATGAATACTTATTCGATTAAGAGTTGCTTTCAATCACTTCTGTCTCTGCCCTGGTGAGCAGTGTTGTTCTCACTTGGATTTCTGTTTTACATATGAGAAACTTGAGGGTGAGAGAAGCCAAGGTTTTTGTTTTTAATTTAGTCTATTTATTTGTGGTCTGCTTCACTTCACAAAAGAATTAAGGCAGCTTAAAGAATGCCTGTAGAGCTGTAGAATTAAAAACAAATGAGGAATTAAAGCAAATGGAAAATAAAAATGCAACCAATAGAAAAGTGCAGCAGACAGTTTGGAAAAGCTGTGGAGGACTGTGGAGACCTCATGGATACAAGAGGTCCTATCATTGTTAGCCCTGACTGCGGATTTGGCCCTGAATTTCCTGCCTTCCTGTGAGAATGAACAGAATCAACTGGATGTAGAGTATTGCTTAGGGTTTTTTGTTTTTGCTTCTGGTGGTAGAGTTGCTCTAGGACCTCCTGCTTGCCAAGCAGGCATTCTACCACTTGAGCATTTTTGTTTTTATTATTTTTCCAATAAGATCTTGCTTTTTTGCACAGGTTTTTTTTGTGATCACACAGCTGGAGAGACAGAAACACATGATCATGCCCAGCCTTTTTATTGGTTGAGATGAGGTCTCTTGAACATTTTGCCCAGGCTGGTTTCAAACCACAATCGTCCTGATGCCATGACCCTTGAATTGCTGGTAGTACAAGCATGAGCCTCCACACCTAGCTGAACTTTTCAAGGGTTATTTAGGAAATTTTCAGGAATCCTACATACTGAAATGAGAAACATTTTTCCAGTGGTTATCTTGGAGTGCATGTTATTCCTACTACCATACCTACAAGACAGTTTCAATATCCCTTACCCAGCTTTGGATCAGTCATGTTTCAGACTCTGATTTTTCTTTTTCTTTTTCTTTTTTGTGAAAATATCGTACAGAGGGGGTTACAATTACATGGGCAAGGTAATTGAATTTTTTTATTTATATTTTGATTGGATTATTTATTTACACTTTCATTGAACTTCCCCTAATCCCAAATCATAAATGTACCAACAAAATCAGAAATGTTTTAGCTTCATTGTTGATGCTAAGAAAGTTTGGATTTCAGATTTCAGATGGGCAGGTTAGAGTTACTCAATCTGGAGAAATTCAACCAGTTACACAACCCATGCAGTGACATTGGGCCAACATCTTTTGACCTTATGTCCTGTCACCGTACAGGCCAGGGGTTTACAGTCGCTTCATTTAGGGTGATAATTTTCTAAGTATGATCTTCACCATTCTGAAATAAAGAGCATTTCAGGACTATCAGAATAGTAGCAACATTAATAATAACAACAGTGGTCATCATTGGATCACAAGCACTGTACTAGATGAGTCATACAGAATGCTCACAGAAACCTTCATAGTGTAGAGGACTGCTATCCTTAATGACAAAGGAGAGTCAAGTTCTGAAAGGCTAAGGTCAAATGACTGCTCAATAACTCCAGTGTGTCTGACCCACAGCCTCTTGCCTTGAACCACAAGAACCCTTGGGAGGGTGGTATCACCTTATTGAGTTGATAGTGACTGTGCCAGCTGGATCTGAAAACAGAATTAGCAATGGGAGCTAGAGGTCTGAGACCAGGACCCCTGATCCCCAGATCGCAGAGGGTTGCACGACAGCTGAATCAGCCATCTGTGTCCCCACCTGGCTTTGATGTCCATCTCAACTCAACAGCAGTTCAGTGGAAAGCTGGCTCGACGTGCCAGCACACACAGTCACATGTCTGCCTTCGCTTTGGCACTAGAATGGGTCTCATAGTAACAAGATGTGGCTCCTTTTGCACCTGTACACTTCTTGTTCCATGGATGAATAAACATCTTTGGTCTCTAGGGTCTGCAGTCTGAGATCTTTCTGAGGCCTTAGTTAATTAAAATCCTTGGGATGAAAGGCAAGAAAAACAATTTCTGAACTGTTCCTGAGACCGAGCTACTACTAGCAAGAACAGTTTTCCTCTCTCTCTCTCTTTCTCTCTCTCTCTCTCTGTCTCTCTCTCTCTTTCTCTTTCTGTTTTGGTTGAGACACAATGATACATTTTTAGATGAGGAGGAGAATCCTTTTAACTCAAGGGAAATAAGAACTCATCAGTGATTTGTGTCAGCCATGGCAAAAAGGATGCTATTGTTTGTTCATGCATTCAGCAAGCATTCATTATTTGCTTGGTAGAGTATGTAATACCCAGCACCTGCCTTCCTCAGGGAGAAGAAAGCATTCACAGTATCTCCAATGGTAAAGATCTAGGAGTTTTATTTCTGTTTAGCTTAAAAAAAAAAAAAAGGATGGAAGACAAGAATGGCTTTTAAACTGAGTCATGAGAATACCGCAACTGGAAGGGAAGGCTAACATTGGGTATATTAATTTCCTTGGACCAAGTGCATCACTTAAAGTACATTCTCTGTCACAGTTCTGGAGGCTAGATGTACAAAGTCAAGTAGACAACAGATCTTTGTTCCCTCTGAAAACTCCAGAAGAATCCTTCTCTGCCTCAGCTTTTGATGGCTCCTTGGATCCTTGGCATTCCATGGCATCCTTTAGTTCATACCACATCTCCACATCCCTAGACCTCATTTCCTGTTCTGTACCTTCTCTTAGGAGAATGCTCATTTTTGAATTTAGGGGTCATCCTGATCCAGTAGGGTCCCATCTTAATTACATCCACAAACACCATCTGCTCCAATAAGGTCATATTGGGAGGTTCAGGTGAGCATCAATTTCTGGGCGGAGGGGGGGGAATTTTATTCCATCCACTACTTGGAGCAAAGAACAATTTTTATGCTGCTAACATCAATAGGAGCAAGTCATCTTTGCAGATTGTGAGATCTAAACAGAATAATTGGCATTCTTCTTTTATGTTCTGAGCCAGGCACCAGTGGCTTATGCTTATAATCTTAGCTACTCAAGAGGGTGAGATCTGAGTATCACTGTTCAAAGCCAGCCTGGGCAAAAAAGTCTGAGACTGTTAACTCCAACTAAACATCAAAAAAAATCTAAAGTGAAACTGTGGCTCAAGTGGTAGAGTGTAAAAGCTCAGGGACAGAACTCAAACCCTGCGTTCAAGCCCCAGTATGGTCACATGGCATGGGCCCATGCTCTCTCACACACACACACACACACACACACACACACACACACACACACACACACACACAGAGGCGTGTTTTCGTCAAATTATGGAGGGCTTGGAGACTAATTTTGCTCAGTAGACAGAAAGCCAGAACAAATTTCATCATATTACTGATGTAACACCTGTTATATATGAGCAAATATTTAACAAATTAATATAACAGCATAAGGTTGAAATGAGGGATTAGTAGATTCAGCT